AGAGAGAGAGAGAGAGAGAGAGAGAGAGAGAGAGAGAGATCTATGCATTATTGTTTTAGTTCTTAGAGAAGCTTTGGCCAGCGATTTATTTTTAAATGGTTGCATTTGTAACATAACGGACTATGAGTCATCCCAACTTAATGGAAAAAAGAATTATAATCTTGTTTCTCAGCGTCCAAGAAGATAATTGAGGCTGGGGTATCAGGAAGGACAGCAACACTGCTGGAGGACTATGCAAAAGAAGTGTGGGAAAGTTGCACCTTAAGTAAATAAGGGCAGTAGTGCATGTCTGGGCAGCGAGTGGGAGGCGAGAGGCAGCGCAAGGCTTGAACTCTTGAAACAAACCCTGTTGTTCTGGCTAGTAAAGAATGTGGGCAAACCCTGTAAGGCCCTTTGCGCCGGATGACAGAAGCAGAAATCTTTTGTCGCTTTGGCTCAGGCACCTCCTGGGATCCAGCCCAGCCAGAACGGGGCACAGAAATACAGCCTGACACAAAAACAGACACCCCAGTTCTGTCCTGCATTTTGGACTTGATGAATTTTTACACCTCCGCTCTTGTCTGAGGGCTGGTGCATTACACTACCAAGGGAGAGGGGAAAGCTGACCAAGGGGGGGTCCCCAAGAAAGCAAAGCAGAGGCCCAGCTCCCTGAACACACGACATGCACAAGATGGAGCAGAGCAAGAGATGCGACTCTGGAAACAACCTGCGCCCCAGCCCACAAGTCAGATCCGGGGTGCTCCGGTTACAGCTGCTACACACCTGATGCTCTCAAGGGAGATGTTTCAGGAAGGGAAACAAGGGGAAAAGGCACTGTAGGCTTCTGCAGAGAACAGCCTGACCATGAGACGCACACGGGACTCAAGCAAAGAGCTAGCGCTTCTCCTGCAAGAGCTCTTAGAGCTACTCTTCCTCTCGGCACCAGTCCAGCTGCTAATCCCAGTACAGGTGCCAGGGCAGGACACCCCACACAGGCAAGCAAAAAAGGGGGGCAGGAGGTACATCTCCAGATGCTTGGGTCTTCAGCTCCCAGAGGTCCCCCTTGGCATGGCCGATAGTCAGAAATGCTGGGAGCTGATGCCCGAAACATCTCGAGATCCACTTATGCCCATCTCTGCTGTATTTCATTCCTGTTTTATTTATTTATTTTTATTTATTAAAACATTTTTATGCCGCCCCATTCGCCGAAGCCTCGGGGCAGCTTACAACTGTTGTGGCCGTCATCATCACCCACATTTCTATGCTGCCCACAGCCAAAGCTCTCTGGGCAGTTTCTCCCACCCTGCATCTCCCTGTGCGGCATGTGAATCGTGTGCATGACCTGAGCCTACCACAACCCGGCAGTGTTAGCCACGCAAAGGGCAGGCACTCATTCTCCGGCACAGGGAAGGTTCCTCTTGGCAGAGGCAAGGCTTCAGCCATTGTGACTGCTGGCCAAACCACTCACGAGCCTTTCGGCCAAGCGTTTTCCGGTACGGAGCAGCAGCCTTCACCCTCGTGGAGATGCCTGCTCACAGCTGCTGAAGTTTGGCACTGGCTAAGCACGTTCTTGAAACCAGGCCCAGGGACCAGGTGCTCCAGGCGCTGATGAGGGCTCATCATTCTCTGTGCCTCTCTTTGCTCTCCAGAGACTGTTTTCCAGCAGGTCAAGGAACCTCCCCACACCCCTGCCCATGCCAACCACAAGGGACACTTGGCCCAGGTAGTTACCAGCTGCGGTAACTAAAGGCTCCCAGCTTCACACATCTCTTTCCCTTTCAGGAGCCCCTCCATCCTGGGCGCATTGCCCTACAGGCCCTGTTTCTGCTGCCAGGGAGCTGCACATACTGCATGCGCCTCAGAAGGGTCTGGCTTCCAGATGGATTTGGGGTGGGGGAAGCACGCAAGCTGGGCTTGGGGCAGGGGCTCCTCTTCTGCCTGCTCGCTCAAGCTCCCGGGATGATGCACGGGCAGGTTTCTTGCAGTGCACAAGGGACTGCAGTGGCTGCTGCTTGGGTGCATGAGGAACTCAATGAGGCTCAGCGTGGAGGGAGGGAGGCCTGGCTGAAATGCCACCTGGCAGGACTGGCTTGCAAAGCAATGTGGAGGAGAGGGGGAGTGAGCCCAGCGGCTGCCCAAAAGAGAGCTTGGCTCGTGCAGGCCCCTGTGCTGCCACACTCCCCGACTAGCTCGGATGTGCCTGGCTGTGGTGGGGAGGTAGCCACTTTCATTATGTGGAACTGTACCCTGGAGCTGAGCCTTCTCCCAGGTGGGTCAATCCTAAATTGCTCCATGGGATCAGGGCTTCTGGCAGCTTTGACTGGGCCTTGTGGCCAGGATCACAAATGCCCCAAGCACAGGCCCTCTTCCAGAGACTGAGCAGCTCTGCCTGGGATGTGCCGTCAGCACCTGCAAGTTCCCCCTGGCACTGCTTGTTTGTGGAGGTTCTCAGGTTTGCACAAGTGTGATTTCTTCCCAGATGAGGCTCTGATTCCATCCACTGCTTCCCAACCCCCAAGCCCTACCCCAGGGGTGCTGAGCAGCATTCCGCGCCCCAGGGCAGAAATCCATTTCAGAGCTGTTTGGGGGGGGGGGCCTGCAGCACACATGCCCTGAAGGCAAAATGCAATGGGGACAAGGACTGCCAGTTCATTTTAGCTGAAAGCTCTGACGGACAGTAACTATGCCCAAGGAGAGGAGTTTTGGAGCTGCGGAAGGCCGGCACCACTGTGAGTCTGTGCCTGCGCCTCTCCTTGTTGCCTCTGAGAAACAGACAGAAAATTATCTGGTTTCTGGAAAAGGATGCAGTGTTCAAAGCAAGGGTCCCATGCCCCAACATCCAACAACCCTACTCAGATGCAAAGCGAACACAAGAACCACGGACGTAACACGCCACAAATCTTGGCCTTCCAAAGGAAACACTTGCACTGCTTGGTGGTAGACCAGGCCATTCCCCTCCACACGCACCCTCCCCACTGTCTGCTTGCCAGAATAGAAGGGAGACTTCAAAGAACGCCAGCAATACTTTGCCTTCAACAGTATCCACGGACAAGATTCCTTCCCTGCTATTAACCTCTCATCACTCTGAAGTCTGGCTCCCAGGACCAGAGGGACCAAGAGGTTGCATTAATCCTATTCTGAAGAATGCTCGACTTTTGCCTATTGATGGAAAAAGTTGAGGGAAGGGTGCGGAGGGGGAGGGGTAAAAGCAGCAATGTAATTAAACTGACTAGAGGAAAATGCCTTGATCAGCAGATTACACACAACGGCCTCGTACGAAGAATTCAGCTGCAGCTCGTTACAAAACATCCACAGTACATTTGTCCTTTTGCTGTTTGATTCGCTCAAATTTATAAAACGCTGAAGTTTTCAGAGGAAAGCAAAGCAAGCTTTCCAAAAGTTCTCCAAGGTATTGACACTTCACTTGGCAAAGCTGGCACGAAGAACATGTGCTTAATGTTAAGAACGCAGCAGGAGAGAAAGAGCACCTTGCTCCTTTGCCTGGGTTTACTTTGAAGAGTTATGGTCATTTAGCAAAAGGAGGATTTGTTTGGCTTACCTGCACTCTCCGGGAATTTTACAAGTACCATGTTTGGGGCTGCAACCCTGACGACAGATGGCTGCAAAGAGAAAAGGGGGGATTTAAAAAGTGGGGGGTTAAATGGGCCTTCACTCTCGTGGGAACCTTTTAATCCCCTGCTAGTACTGTAATCCTACCAAATCCAAGGTTTAAACAGGTCCCTTGGATCAAGTCTACTGGAAAAGAAACTGAGGTAGGCAAGGCCTCATGACAGCAATTCCAACAATCTACAAAGAAAGCATCGCTGCCCAATCTCATCCAAGGCCTTCCCTTAAACACAAAGGAAGCTATTTAAAACCCTTTTTGGAGACTTTTAAAACCTTTAGTGGCCTGCAACACTCTCCTTTTTGATGTTCATCCCCTTTGAAGAGGCAGGTTTGAGAGCCATTGGAAACTTATCAGGCACTTAAGGGAAAACACACTTTAACAATCCATACAGTTCAAGGTTTTTACTGATAGTTTCGCTTCCCTTGTCATCTTGGTATACTTAAAAAAAGAAATTCTGCTTTTTGTACTGTGAAACATCCTATTTACATACCAACATTTCATTATTCTATATCTATCCTTCCCCATTATCTTTTGCAAGGAACTCAAGGGTCTAATAATTTGATCCACACAAAACCCTGTGAGCTGGTCAGACTGTAAGTCGGTGACTGACCCAAAGTGACCTATTTGGCTTCATGGCCAAGTGAAACCTTGAGTGGGGACTAGAACCCAGTACTCAGTCCAATACTATAACCACTACACTAGCTCTGTGCACATGTGAGCATAAGAAGTTGCCTTAGAGCAGGGGAGGGGAACCTTTTCCAACTTGAGCATCACATTGTATTGTGGTTCGCATCCAGGACAGAGATGACTGTGAAATCCTCTGCAAAAAGTGGGCAGGATCAAAATGAAAGCAGGCATGGCTACTGTACCCAGTCTTCTGTATATCTGCATGAATCCCACATCTTTTCTCAAACAAAGCCACCCTCCCCCAGCCTACTTGCCACAATAATCAAGTGTGGGGCAAAGTAAAAAATCCCACTGAAACTAATGGGATTTCCCCCACAAGCCAAAGAGCCGCAGAGAAGTAATATTTGGCAAATGGGTTGCAGCACACTGGGAAAGCTAACCCTTCCCTTTCCAGCTGTAATCTCCATCTCCAGTTCCCCCCCCCCCACCACACACACTTTGCTGCATGCAGAGGTGGAGGAAAAGCCCCATGAGGCAAAGATTTTTTGCTTTAGATCATAAGTCCACCTTTCCCACTGTTGTTTGCCCACCTTGGTCTTGGTCAGAGGTCTTTCCCATCATCCTGCCACCAGCTCCTTTTCTTCAAAACTAGCACTGGACCTTGGACCTTCAGCATGCAAAGCAGCTGCTCTGCCACTCACTTACAGCCCCTTGGGTGCTTAGTGAATAAAGGACCCATCCAGCTAAATCTGGATGTCTCCCTCTCACCTCCTCCTCTGCTCAAAAATCTAAGTCATATGAGCCACTGAATAGAACTCACAAGGGGCAGTATAACTGAGCATCACTAAACTGGGCACAAAGATTGCTTGGGGGTTCTCCTGGACGCACTGCTTGCTGGGGAAGGTCAGACGATAAGGTGGCCAGCCATGCTTTCCAGCAGCTTAGGCTGGTACTCCAGCTCCAGGCCTACCGGGAAAATTCTGACTTTACTCAGTTGAACTGGTGAGGTCCAGACTGAACTACTACAATGTATTGTGTGGGACCACCCTTTAAAGATGGTCCATAAACTTCACCCCATGCAAAATGCCACTGTCTAAATTCTGGCAAGGACTAAGCTGTAAGTTCATGTGATACTTAAACAGTACCACCTGCATTGATTATGCTGCATTTCTGAGCCCACTTTAAAATGCATGTTTTAACCTTTAACAAAGTTTGCAGCAAAATCACTTGAAGGGCTGCATTCAGTCATCCCAACCTGCCCACACTTGATTGATTTATCTACTGTGGCCCATATCTAAAAATATCTCTTATCTGTATCATAATTAATGGAGGTCTTTCTTGCTAGGCCATCTTAGAGAGCAATCCTTTTGCTGGGTACAACAGGGAGGCCTTTTCTGCAGCGGCCCCTCATTTCTGAAAACACTTCCTGCTGAAGTCTGCCAAACACCACGTTCAAGACTTCTTGTCTCCCTTGTCTTCTCCTAAGTTGGGGTCTTTATAAGGCTCCTGGTGGTTTTGACTACAATTGGTTTTGCTTTTAGCATCTGGAAGTAGAATGCTGGTTTCCTGTTGTCACTGGCTTTTAGGGCACAAACAATATTTATTGTTTTATTCTTATCTTCTCAGCAGCCCTAAGAGAGGTTTGTACCTTACAAGATGGCCTAAAATATTTTAAATACAAAATAAATAAGAGCCTCCAGCTATGCCCAGAGTTACAAAGGACAACTATTCTGAGTGGCTGGTCTGTCATGTTTTACTTTCCCTGAAAAGGCTGCAATGAACAAACACCTTTCTCTTCTAGAGTTCAGGGGATACCAATGAGCCTCAGAAAGACAATGAATACCACTGAGTCTAAAGACTACAAGCCAAATAGTACTCAGCCAGGGAAACACAAAAATGGCATCACAAACCTGTTTTACAATCCAGTTCCATCCAGCCCTCCATGCAAGTCTTGTTGCCATTCTGATCACAGGTGTAGTGTCCAAAGAAGTCATCCCTGGGTCGGCAAAACTTGTTGCAGCCAAAGCCATAATAATGTTCATCACAAGTGACCCTAATCTGGTACTCAAAGTGTGCCACGCCTGCATTTTGTTTCAGAACCTGCCACTGACGGCTCGGGTTGATCATTCCAGAGTGAGACGCTTTTTCGATAATGCGATCTGCATCTTGAAAAAGAAAAAGGAATAAGCAAAAGTCAATGAGGAGGAAAACACACCTTACAGGTCTCTGCCATCGCAGTGCCACGACTCATCGCAATGGTTCGCAGGGGACGTGTGGGACGGCTGCAACTGGGTGGAACGAAGCCCAGGGCTGCTGAGCGGACAAGCCTAGAAGTCACTACAGGGGATTTGGATCCTCTTCAAGAACTCAGGGCTGTGCCACGCATTCATTTCCCCTGCGGAAATCACTTGTACACCTTTTCTTTCCTCAACACACTGGAAGTACTTAGTCCTTCTTCCACTCTGTCTGCACACACTGCAGGAAGCCAGTGGCCGCTTGCATGTGGGTGAACATTAGATTATGCAATTCTTGCACAAGAGCAGCAAGTGATCTTCCACCCCAATGGCGCCATGGCCAAATAATGCTGTTCATACAAGATTAATTTAACTGCGGGAAGAGTAGATAGCATTTATTACTATTTAAACTATAAATTAGCAACTGTCTTGAAGATTAAGACACTGCACCAAGGGAGGGAGGGAAGAAAGTTAACCCTCCCTGTACATTTAAAAGTCAAGCGTATGAAGGATATGCTATACCAAACACTTAGGGCTGTCTCTACTCTGACTGTCCTTTAAGGGAAGAATGGCTTTTGCCATGCAGCCCCGCATGTGATCCTCAACTCTGCAACGGAGGCTTAAGGGACTCTGCAAAGCAGACTGGGGGAGCCAATCAGGGTGCAAGAGGGAGCCTGCTCCAGTGACAGTGGATAAAACCCTTCACTCTTTGGCTCTCCCTTTTTAGCTCAATGTATCAAGTACCACTAAACAACAAACTAAATGGCACACAGATTAATGCAGGCAAAGAAAGCCTGTAGGGCCAAAACACAGCCCTTCTGGAATGTGCACGGCTTAAATGCCGAGCAGAAGGAAAACCCCAAATAAGAGAGAGGTGACTAGCAGCAAGAGGAGGGCAAACAGCTGGAACACAACTTCTTCTAACAGTACGAACTGAACTCTCTCTCGTCATGTGGGGCACTTTGTTCTGATCATTCATGCAACAATCAGGTATCCTTTCACAGAGCACTTACTTATAAAGCCCCCGGGCCTTATACAGTAATAGTATTGCAACAGCCTATTTGCTTCGGACAGACAAGTGCCAAGAATTTCCAGACAAGCAGGTATGAGCTAGAGACGTTTTCCCTTCCGAGCAAAGCAGTGACCTTTGGCACTCTGTTTTCATAACCAGCATCATCTCCATAAAACAAATGCAAAGCCAGCCATGATACTGACCCCTCATTCTAGAAGTTAGACTGTTTTAAGCTGCAAGCTTATGCATTTATCTGGGAGCCATTTCCATTGACATCAATGGGGCTCACTTCTGAGCAGGAGTGCACTGTGAAGAGATGTGTCCAATCAGAAGAGCTGCCATAGAAGCCCCTCATTATCTACTTCAAAGCAGAAGCTCCGTTCTAGAGAACTCTTCCCGGCTTCTACGGAAGGCACTAAGCAACTATGTCATATAACCAGAAATGCCAATATTTCACGCTTGCTTGGGACATTGTGTACATATCTGTGGTATTTCACTTTGTAGTCCGGCCTTGTGACTTCAACGATCTGACACTGCCTTACGACTTGCTTCCTAGCAGCATTTGACTACAGCACAAAAAACCTATCCTAAAACATCGAAAAAATATGTGTATATGCTGGGTAAAACCAAATAGGAGGAGAGGGAAGAGAGGGTGGGGGTAGAGAACTGGGGGAAGATGGCATACATATTGGCTAGCATTAGTGCTGAGCTATATTAAAGATGCTGCAGGAGTATATCTGAAATACTAACATTATGAAGGACTAAAATGAACCAAGAAAAAGGGGAAGTGTACTTCTACGGACAGCTTAAACAACCTTATTGGCTTTTTATCTAACTCTGATATACTGAATTTCAGAATTGCAAGCAGAATGTTTTCCTCAAGTTATAGCTCTCTTCCTAGTTCTTCAGTTTTATAAGCAAAAGTTTCTAGGTTAACTATAGCACATAAATAAGTTAATTTAATTTCCCAAAGAAAATCTCAGGAATCCATATCAGCACAAAACTTTTTAAGGCGAACTCCAGGTTACCACCTTGCCTGAGGAAGAGTTTTGGAGAACCTGGAAGCGTGCACAGGGTTTGAGGATCTTTGAGCTGGCCTAATAAAGATACTCTGGATATTGGAGATTTTCTTTCAGATTTTTTTGGCCTTTTGTGTGAGGTTAATTTGAAGCCTCTTATCCATATCATGCTATATTTGATAAAAAGACACTCCCGGGGACAAAGGCAAGAATTTGCTCCTCATCTTCTCACCATGTTGCAGAGACCTTCAGTTCTCCACCATAACCAGACATTTCCAACACAAGAAGATGCTCCAACTGAGACAAACCAATGGCTCTTCCCTATGTGGAAGATACCTGGTGAACACAGAGGAAAGTATGAAGCTATCTTGTATCCAGGTGAGATTATTCTTGGTCCATCCAGCTCTGTGGCTCTCTAAGGTGCCTGGGACAGAGGTCCCCCTGCTTATCCCCCCCCCGCCCCCCAAGCTTTGCTACCCAAGAATCTTATCAACTGGAAGTGTCAGCAGGGACCAAACACAGATACATCAGGATGTTAGCCATGGCTGAGAGAAACCCACGCTGGAAAAGGCCCGTGTAATTATGGGCAGGTGGAAAGTAGGCCTCCAGAGGTTTGGGGCTGTAATGAATTCTTGAACACTGGCCATCCTGGCAGGGAACTTCTGGGAGCTGGAGTCCCAAACATCTGGAGATTTACCTTCTGCCTGCCCCTGCTGTAATGAATAAAAGCACCAGAAGGAGAAAGAGTATGCATCTACTTTGCAGAGAAGGCATGGGATTTATTTATACTATTTGCATATCACCTTTCAAAATATTTGACCTGAGGCAGTGTACAATGAAAATCTCATCCTGAAAAGCTTGCTGAAATACCTGTCCTGAATACATTCTCCATTTCCCTTATAAAGGAGGCACTTGGGGGGGCCAAGCCAGAAGATTGCCCCCCAACTCCAGATGCTTTGGGCTCCAGCCCAAACATCCCAGGAACTGGGTTTTCAGAACACCCAGACAGCTGCTTCAGGCTATCCCTGGATGCAGGATTATGCTTTTGCACACACTACCTGAACCAGGCTGCAGACAGATTCTATCAACAAGAGCCTTTTATTTTGGCCTCCTGCTGTTGAGGCAGTCACCAAAAACTACTGGTAGACATACCAACACAAAGCACTGTCCTTACTGATGTTTCTTCACATAATCCTCTTCTCAGGGAAAGATAAATGATATGAAAAGGAGTGGGGAGATTTAAGGGGGCAGTTTGTGTGAACTGTCTCTTTGTACATAGCATTACTGGCCAGTTATTAGCTCTACTACGCAAGAAAGAAACAACAGATAACTCTCGTAACCAGATGTGGTAGGATTTTCCATATATTCTTCACTCCTTCTCCCCTTCTACCTTGGCAGCACAAACTAACCAAAGGAAATTAGCTCAGAGTTCGACAAACCCACCATTAGCAGGCCACAACGATGGAGGTTAAGGACTAGCAATCCCATGGCGGCAGACAGTGGAAGAATCAAGTCAGTCAGCTTAGAAAGAAAAGAAACTTTATTCTTCCCATTGTCCACGCTGGAATTATAAGCTTTGGATCCAAAGCAGTACCGTAGAAGAAACTACAGTAATAGGAAACTGACTTTGACCCAGGGAAAGGGTACTGGGAAGAGAGAGAGAGAGAGAAAGACAGAGCGTGCCGAAACGTTCAAATATCCCATTTGCAGTTTTGGCTAAGCTTGCCTGCAAGTCCATTCATATTGCTTACACAAATCAAGACTCTCAGAAATGGCAAAGAGACTTTGATCATGAGAAGCACTTTATTGCACTGTTGCCTAATTTGGAATCCAGCTTACTCAGAGTCGGATCACTGGTCCACAGAGCCCATATGGCCTACTCAGACTGACAGGAGCCCTTCAAAGACTCAGAGTGTCTTTTCCAGCAGTCTCAGATATGATCTGTTCCTGCTCAAGATCCTCTGGAACTGTGATATCAGTGACTGAGTGTGCTAAGGAGGCGTTCTACGCCCTTGAGACTTGGCCCTTTCAGAAGTCCTCCGATGATCCATTTTTAAGAAGATATACTGGGGCTGCTAGAAGCTCCTTGGGAGCTTCTTCCTCTCATTTTGCATGTGCGTGATGAGTTGGTTGTCGTCTCAGATATGAAGGAGGCAATCCTGTATACAGTGCCAGTATGGCCTCACAGCTTCAATGCCAAACCTGGCACTGGATTCCCACAATCAGCCTTGATGAGGTTCCCTTCAAAGACAGGGCCTCACCAGTCCGCACTTACTCTAACAGTGCTCAAGAATTTTGATTGTAATTAATTAAAAACCAACCACCATATTACTTTCACAACAGGTATGTGCATTTGCTGTAGAGTGGGAATAAGCTTGCCAATTCCTACAAGCTCACCTTCACAGAGACACACACCCTAAGAACCGACCCATCTTCCCAATCTATGCTCTCACCTTTGCTTTTGGAGAAATTCCAATGACCCTCCTGGTGCTGATGGTTCACATGAAAGATGACTCAGCAGGACACGCCAAAGGGAAAATGCTGCTGCTACAATACAAGTTCTATTCTTCTGGCTCTCTTGCTTTGGAGGAGCAAAGGTAACACTTCCTATGGTCAGCTCCATCCATGCTCTAAAGCCAGAGTACTCCACTTTGGTCAGGAACACGTTTCATGACAAAGCAATGCCACCGTCATTGAAAGAACTGAATTGAGAGCAATTGAAAGAATAAGCCCTTTTACAGGCTCTGCAGAGGTGATGTTTCTAGAAAGTTATCATCAATGACTCTTAAGGACATAGTATAATGTCTACCTCTTCTCTACCCTATAGCATCCCCTACAGCAGATGAGAGTAACTTGTAGTCCAAAACATCTGGAGGTCCCCAGCTTCCACAATCCCTCACCACTGGCTATGCTGGCAAGGGCTGGTGGGAGTGTTATGGTCCTCCAGGTGCTTTAGCTACATTTCCTACTTCTGCCCTGTAGAATCAGAGGCTGAAGACACAGATATGATACACAAAGAGTTCAGAGATGATGTTTCAGTCCAGCGTTCAGAGCAAACAGTTAAGGCATGCTAGCAGCCAGTCAAGCACAAGATGAAGTCATGCCCTCTTATTCTGGCTCCACAGGTTATGCCTGTTGACTTCACAGCTGCTAAACGCCGGCGTTTTCTCCAGCCAGAGCCAGCAGTAGGAGGCAGAAATTGGTGGCAGAAGCACTGGTGAACAGCAGAGGACAGCAGAAAAGGGCAAGACTTCAACCCTTCTTTGATTTCCTAGCATAAAGCCCATTCCTATTGGAAGATGACGCTGAAATGCATCTGAAGAGAGCAACCCAAGCACTAATTTCTAGAGAACATTTGCTACCAGCCAAAACCTCACTTGCTTCCCATTCCTAAATGGGCTGTTCCACCCCATCACATTCTTAAGGAACAAGCAAGAATGGGATTGTTATGTGCCCTGCTCGGACAAGACAGCAAGAGTACACTAAGAATGCTTCCATTGGTTATCTTGAAACAATGGACATTTCTTCCCTTTGAGATTTCCCAAGACTTGAATAAGATGCCACACTGCTGCGGAAGAGCACTGACCTCATGCCCCACTTGTGCACTTCCCAGAAGCATCTGGCCAGCCACCCTGGAAACAAGACACAACTAAGACTGACCCTTGGTCAGCTCCAGCAGCACATCTCTTACGGACTGGATTTTGGAGATTACTATTTTCCAGGTTTTAGACATTCAATGTTGTTCAGGTCCTTAAACAAAATAGAAAACTTCCAATTTTTCCAGTGATCTGATTTCACCGCTGCAGATGAAGCATACATGAAACTAAAAACAGACAAACAAAACAACCCCAAACAGCTGTTTTACTGTAAAGAGTTGCCACTTACATAAGTATCTTATGGAACTTGAGCTACTTAAAAAATAATTAAGAACCCATACTGGGATAATTGTATTCTCATCTATACATCACAAAATTCTAGGAGACATAGTAAAAAGGGGGTTTTCCAAGGGCAAATAAGCTGCATACTGAAGAGAAAGTATTCATTGCAAGGTTCACTGGTATGATCAAATTAAAATACACAATGTTGAAATCTCCTGCAAGTTTAATTATGAACATGTGCAAATCCACATCCAAACTTGGTCAAATGTGTTGTTCAAAAAGAAAAAAAAGACATTTTAACATTTTTGGTGGAGGGCAACTTTGCCTCCAGAATGTTAGAACAAATAAAGGATTCATTGTGAAGCTTTGGAAATTCTGTTTCATGAAATAAAGATGAGATCTATTCAAAACAGAGATAGGACAGACTCCGAATGAAAAGAACTGGGATCCTCCAGCAAACAAGAGCTTCTTTCAAATGCAGGCATTTTCCAACTGAGCCAACACAGTAACACCTGTAAAAGATTTTCCTCTCTTTCACATGTCATTCAGGTGGGCCAGATAAACACCTTTCCCTCACCCCACTGCATTGTCAATACTTTGCTACTATTAGTGCATGAGGGCACAATTGGTTCTAGAACCATAGTTTTCTGGGACTTCTTCCTGCAAGAAGGACTTTATTGCAATAATGCTAATGATGAAACCATCATCTTAATAAGGCCTGCCGAATTAGATGAGGTATCATTCCCTGAGGAAGTTCAGTTTGGAGAAGACTCATTCATAATGATTTATATTCTGCTTTTTCCTTACAAAGAACTCCAAGTGGCTTACATCATTCTCTTCCTACTGCTCTGTCTTATCCCCACAACAACTACCCTGTGAGGTAGGTGGGGCTGAGGGTCTGTGACTGACCCAAAGTCACCCAGTTGGCTCCATGGCTGAGCGGGGACTAGAACCCAGATTGCACGAGTCTCACTCCTACATTCTTAAGCACTACACCACATTGGCTCTCAGTGTGAAGGGAAGACCAGGACTGCAAGGTGAAAATGAAAAATTCAAATATTTCACAATTAATACTATGTTCCCTCCCCCTAGAAATTCCATTCTGTTTTGTTGGATTTTTTAAATTCTCTTAACACAGAATGGCATTTTCTTCAGGTAACTGTGCAGAAGGGGAACCAGTTCTCAGGAACAGCATAGCAGGTATGAGCACTTTCCCCAACCCAGAGCCCTCCAGATGTGGACAACTCCCATCACCTTCAGCTAGGGCACAGGAGGAGGTGTCATCATACACATTAGGAAAACTGTTCTCTTAAATGGAAGTGTTTACCTATTTGGGGCAAACCACTTTGATCCAATTCGCCTTTATAACTGGTTCCATAGCCAAACGGCAGCCTGAAAAATGCTGAACATGTTTTAAGCTTTGAAAAGGAGTTCCCCAGGAATCCAATTCAGTGCAAATAGTCATAACAGACACACCATTTCACACTGAAAGGGGCATGGAGCGAGGGAAGAAGCATGCACGCAAGCCGCAAACTTCAGAAAGCCATTTATTTTGTATCCAAGCCAAGATGCAAGCTCATAGCAAGCTTCACAAGACTGACAATTCTACGCGGCAAAAGAAGGCCTCCAAGATGTCCCCACCTCGAGTTGGCTTCTCCCCTTCTGAAGAGTGAGGTCAGTTGCAGACAAAACCCGTCCCCCTATACTACCCCCTTTAAACAGCACATTTGGCAAAGCACCGTCGCATCATCCATGGGACTCCTATGATTTCCAGGATCGCAGAAGCACTGCCTCGAAGCCATGGCAAGCATACCTGTGAAAAGTGTGGTTCGAGTGACAACGACAGTGCCCGAGAAGACCTGTGGAACAGTTTGTGCAGAAAGAAGTGACACCAGAGAGACAACTGTAAGATGCAGTGATTTATGTTCTACCAGGGAAAGACAAAGAGGGTCCTGCAAGAGAGATTCCCTGGTGCGAAAGGGGGCCTGCACATTTTCGATGCCCTCTTCTTGAGCAACTACACTGTGGGGAAGGGGGAGCCATTAAAACTCCCATTCATTTCTGCAGGACGTGGGCTACTGGAAATCAAAAGTGAAATGGGAGAATGGGTCAAAACAATTCCCTGCTCACAAACCCACATAAAGAAATGACTGAAGCAGTGCCATGCTTGCTTAGATCAACCTGAGATAGGGTTACAGGACTCTGGAGTCTGGCCATAACTGCACATCCTTCAGCAAGAGCGCATCAAACCCACCCTCATTTGTGGCTTCCATGAACAGATGACAGACAGCTACATATGCATTTACATTTTACTTGACTTTACTAGCTCAAGGCAAATTCAACATTAGTTTCTTCAAGGGTGAGAGTCCCATCTTCCCCTCCCCTGGGGGGCTTCAGGTAAGTCACCCCCTTTCTTCTCTTAGCATCAACAGCCCAATATATTCCTAAATTTCTACTTCAAGTGGTCATCTAGTCCCACGACCCCTCTGCCACTCAGGTGAAGATAAGCTCAGCCAGTAGTCTCCAACCCAGGATGGTCCCGGGGTGGAATGCCTGGCTCTTGGTGGCCCCCTGCTCATGAAGGTTATGTGAAGTTTTCCTCAGGGCAGGCAGGGGAAGCCACTGGGTAGAGACATTCAGTGCCTTCTCTCCACCCAGTGTGCCTGGCTGCACTGAAGGCCCTGTTTTTGGGGGTGGGGCGCTTTTGATAAGGGGCTTGTTGGCTCCTCCAGGGACAGGGTCTTCAGGGTGGGGTTTCCTGCTGCTGCTTCCCAGCACCTCCTTCCTGTTAGTCTTCTTTCTGCCTTACCACACCTTCTGTATCCTTCCTCACCTGGCCTCCATCCTTGTTTGGACTCTTCATATCTCTGCCCAGACACTTCTCTTTTGTTTTGCCCCTTTCCCCGGGGCTTTCCAAAGGCCATCCCTGCCTTTCTGGCCCCTTCTTTTCTTCCTGGCTGAGCCATCACTGCAGTGCAGCTTCCTTCTTTGAGCCAGCTAGTGAAGCCATGGCAACCGGGGATAATGTCACAGCCAAGCAGCACCCCTCACAGCTGACTCCAAGGGCCTGGTTGAGAGCCCTTGGAGACAGGAGGGTGGGCCCTGGCCAGGTTTTCAGGCACTTGTCTGGAGGGCCACCCAAGGGTTCAGTTCAACTCGAGAGGAATACATGTGAGAATTTGTGGGAAACTCAACCTTGTCAAGCTCACTATCAGCAATACAGAAACCTACCTACAAGATGGGGAATGCTTCTTCAGGTGGACAAATTGCTCCTTTAATCAGATGGATCTCTCAGATCACACAGACCAGGGATGAAGAACAGAAGGTCTTTCTAACCACGTGCCAATCTGACCTTCAGAAATTTAAATTCCCATGTGGCATAGAAGGGCTTGCTACTTTTTGACAGACAGCCTGACCATACATGGATCAGCCTGAACAGTGTTCACCATGAAATTCTGGGAAGGAGTCACTCTTCTTTCTTCATGGAATTAAGGTTTGTTTATTTATTTAAGGGGTAGGATAACTATGTCCTACCTCAGGTGGACACAATCAGACCTACAGATGTTCTGGGATTCAACTCCCAGCATTCCTAACCACTGGCCATACAACTGCTAGAAATCTACCTACCACCCAGTCCCTGTTCTACAGCCATCCTTCTCCCCCTTCCATGCTGTTCTGATCCAGAAACACCAGAAGTGCAACTCCTCCTTCTATAAAGATGTTACTACCGCTTGCTTTAAACTTTAAAGTTTAAAGTAATTCCAAGAAAAAAAGAAGAGCATACTTACTAACACTGTCGTTATTGTAATCCCAGGCCTCAACAAGCAAGGTGTAGGATCTCTGCAAGACAGTAACAGATATCTGTTAGTGTTTTATTAAAAAAAAAAAAAAAAAAGATAACTCACTCAGCTAGAGCTGGTAAATAGTTAAATAATAATTAATGAATAATTCTTTTAATCATGTTTTATGAAAACCACTATACATTTTCCTCAAGTCTGTGTGCTCCTTATCAACATAAATAGGCCATAGATTATGGCTGAGACAAATGTGATCCTCTTGCAACAGCTTAAAGTACCTTATCCAGTCTGACTAAGCTACCCTTATCCAGTCTGACTGGAGCAATTTAAGGTGAAAGGTCTTTTATCTTTGTCATCAGCAATGCATCTTGCATACTTAACCAGGAAGTTCAACATCCACTGCTTGATGCTATACATAGCAAGGTGGGTTTGTTTGTTTTGAAGTGTAAAACTGGCCAGGACAGAGGGGACAGGGTGGTGAAGGCTTTCTTTCCTTTTCAATTTGTATTCCTTTTACTCAATATTCTACATAATGCTAACATTTCCCATTCAGAAAGCCAAGCAAGGTTGCTAAGACCGCACTGTCAAGGTTCAGAACCGTAATCTCCAGAGACTCGGCTTTTCAGCACCCCTTTGAACACTTTGTCTGCGCAAATCCACCGCTGCTCCCACAAGTATCAGGTAACGAAAGGAAAGAACTTGATGAATTCGGGAAGGGGGGGGGAGGGAAATGCCTAAAGCAACCCTAAAAGAAAGGACACCTACCTCCATCCACCCCCAAATCTGGTTGGAAGTGGAGGGAAGAGATGAGACAACTTGCAAGGACTGCGCACCGGCAAACCCATCACATTGCCCAATACTGTTTCCTAAGTGCCAGTCATCCAGGGCCCTCTTAACGCATGGGCCTGATGGGCACTTGCCCGTGGGGCCCATACTAATCTGTGTATGTTAACCCTTGGAAAATGGGAAAACTTCCAAAATTAACAGTAGTTGTAGTTGTCGTAGGGGCTCCAGGACACTGCTTTGCCCAGGGCCCATAATGCTGTTAAGATGGCCCTGAAGTCATCACTGCCCTATGTAAGCCAAACATACTCAGGCTGGGAGGATTCCCGTTATTTAGCTAGATCACCTTCTCTCTAGCCTTGCCTTGAAAAGGAAAAGTAAATACCCACGGAATGATTGCAGATTCTTCATTTGCCCATTCTCTCCATATTATCTAACACAGCTGAACTCCAAACCAAATACTGTTTATGGTTGAACAAGCTTAATTTAAATAGGGTGGTGAGTGTGTGCCTGCGTGTGTATATATGCAGGCATCCACACATCATGTTCTCACAGGAATTCAGGGAGTGCAACACTTCCCACTAAGCTTACTATCAAATGCTGCAAGTCTCAAGTGGCATTGCCCTGTGAAATGGCAAGTCACTGCAAGCGAGTACATCTCCTGAAGAGCAAGTGCCATCCATTCCCACTGGATGCCAAAGTAACTCAGATCATCTGGATCTGCACCAAGGGTGGGCAAACTGTAGGCTAAAACCTCCGCAGGACCACAAGTCCCATCAGCCCTAGCAAGTACAGCCACTGGTAATGAGTGATTGAAACTAGGGGCCAACATTTCTGGAGGGTCACAAGTTGCTCACCCCTAAGCTACCTACCTAACAAAAATGTAACTACTCTACTTCACTATCAGTCATTATTCTTCTCCCAAGTATTTCAAGGTAGCAGCCTGTGTTTTTAGTGGGCTTTAAAAAAATACATCAACACAGATATGCCTATTAAGGGCCCTGAAGACATATAAAGATTAAGTTATTTGTGACTGCAAAGTTGATTTTACAGTGACTGTTAGAGACAGAAACTGGGGTGCACACGGCACACACTTAGTTATACAGCTCCACAAGCCAGCACACTGTGAGTATGCTAAATATTACAGTGACCAGGTGTGTTAGGGAGGAGTGAAATTACACTTAAGACTCTTAACTTGAGCAACAAAAAAGAAAGTTGTGACTCATAAGGTTTAAATTTGACTAATGCCTAATGACCCTGTTAGCACTTGCTATCTATCCATTTGCAAAGGTGGAAGAAGAGAATTAAGCATTATGGAGACAAACAGCTTCCATGAAAGAAAAGTAAATAAGTGCAAGGTGCAGGCATAAGACTGGCTTCTCTCTCTCTCTGTCTCTCTCTCTCTCTCTCTCTCTCTCTCTCTCTCTCTCTCTCTCTCTCTCTCTAACTTAAACACAAATTCATTTCTCACGACTTAGCTCAGCATGCAGCTCTAAATGAAGGGAAAAAGTCTAGCTTTACAAAAAAAAAAAGGAGGGGGGAGAGAATAGACACAGTGTTGGACGGCAGCCTAAATATGTTTCATATTGAAAGCAGACAAGGATTCAATTTCGTTCACTGATAACTGTGGGAAAATGCTTTGAAAAGTAAGCAAAAGTTGGGCAAGCAGAGACTTGTGCCCCATCTCATGATGAGTGGCCAACCCCCCCTTATAAACATGCGCATGCATGCGCGCGTGCACACACACAGAGAGCATTCGTATTTCACGAACTGCACATTATATATCTTCCCTCCAAATTGCAACTAAAGGTGCACAGTTCAAAAACCATTGCAGTACCCTGAGTTGGTATCATTTCCACCCCCACCCGCCACTGGATACACAAGATGCCAGCACCAAACCATAAATATACATTCAAGCTTTACTTGCAGGCAGTTCTACCTGTCAAGACACCCTTCCGCCTTGGATTAATTGCAGCCAACACTCAGCCTATGTCAATGCACAGAGCCGCAACATGTTGGAGCAAGTTGGAAGCATACCACACAAAAACAAAGAGCCAATTATGGTCACTCATGCTACCTCCAGTCAAGAGGATGTTTTCCTTGCAGCCTTGCATAATCCTTTTGGAAGATAGTCTGTCCTAATGCATAGCAACAGTTCCTGCTTTTTCTTAGCATTATTTACAAGCACGCCCCACCCCAGGGGGAAAAGGAAAAGCTGTGCATTCGCTACAAGTGCTACTGTTGCTACATACCTGTGTCACCATATTCCAATATTGTGCAGGGCTGCTCTAGCAAGCTTGTTATTATGATGATTAATTGTTTAAACAAATAAACATTTGCTAGCTTAAAAAAGTGACTTTCTCCCAGATGGTGATTACTTAATCCTTCTTTGTCAAGCAACAAGCATGTCGCTCATCAGCGATCCTAGAACTGGTCTAAATTTTTCATTGCAGCTCAAATTAAAAGTTGTGTCAACTCAAAAGCTTGCATGTACTTTGCACCAACTTGCCCCAAACAATTCACTCAGCTCTGTGAGAGCTCCCTCCAATCAGCCCTTTGCCACAGAAACGGCCACCTAAGCACCAGTTCCACGGTTCCAAGTACAGCCCTTCTGCCTTAAAAGCCAGGCACCAACAAGACATTAGAGGGTTAAAAGGTGTGCATCAATCCCCACTCTATAGATCAACAATTAAGATAGACAAGGAATGCATGCATACAGCTCAGAGGCTTAATTTTTCCCATGCCATGTCTGACCTTTGCACATCTTTGAATAAATACACCAGTCAGACACAAGAATTCCACATCCTGAATCTTATCCCATCAAACCAAGGTACTAGGCAACAAGTCAGCAGCAAGCTATGGGAAGAAGGCGGGGGAGAGGGAGTCATACCCAATTAATGAGTGCAACTCTAACCTTGATCAGAAGGCAAAAGACTAGCCCAAGTGCCTTAAGAGGGCTCAATAAAATTAAGCAAAACCTTTTAGCACAATTTTTAGGTATGGGAATGGAGAGGCAAGGCTGAGGGGAAGAGCCCAGACATGAGTAGCTTATTCAAAGTTAAAAAAAGTGGGGGGGGGGTGCAAGATTGTGTTGACACAGTGGGTATGCGGAGCTTCATTATGGCAGATAATGCACAAGCACAGCTGTTCCCAAATGCCATCACCTCCATGGCCTAGGTGCCAACCTGCACTTAGGCGGGACAACTTTAGGCTCACGGGGTTGAATGCCATACAAAACAGCAGTCACATAAAATCACAGATGCCTGAAGAAAGGTAGGGAAAGATCCCTTTGCTCTGACATCTTGCCTACCCATGAGAAGCATTCAATTATGCAAGCCCACACCAACACGACACCCTGAACCAGCTCAGCCCTGACCCAGGAAGACCTAGAGCTGCCACCACTCAGACTGGAAAGAAGAGCGACAACATGTGTTAACCGTGAGTGATGCCTTGGTATCCTTGATGCCACTAATCTGGAGCAACTGCCTCCAAACAAACAGTGCAAGTGTCGAACCACCCTTGCTCCCACCATGTTAAAAATGATGATGGAAATGCTATCCCTGCAACACTCCTTCCTCCCCTACCTTGGCCATGTCCTCCTAGCCAGCCAGCCAGCCACCTGCAGGCTACCCAACCATAGCCCATCCTCCAAACCGCTATGCCTGCAGTTCAGATGGCCCTGACACTGCTCTTTCCAGTAGTCATGCCATGGGGCAGAAAGAAGGGCAAGCTGGGGTCCCCCAGGCACTCTGCCCCAGAAATATCTGCTTCAGAAACATTCCAGAAGAGGTGCCCTTGCTTCTTCCCAAATTTAAGTGCAGAATTATGCTCTGTCCCCATTGGGAGGGGGGATGTACATGAGATAATTCAGAGATAATTCAAGAGCACAAAAACAAAATGCCTGCCCACAAAAAACACCCTTCCAGTTTTGAGGAATTCAAGATGCCCAGTCCTAATGCAGCCCCCCTCTAAAATCCAAAGCCGAGCTCGCCTTTCAAGCCAAGTCATCTTATGGAAAGACATTTCCCCTTTCTGTAATTGGTGCATACCTCGGCAGCCCCAGCTGCATTCCACGAGCCTGGGAAAAGCAAGGACTTGAATCAGACTCTCACTGGTGGTGGTTCCCATTCCCACGCACCTCATCCTTGTTTTGCTTCCCCCTCCCACCCTCTCCAACAAGAGCCATGATGTACTCTGCAACACAAGATTTTATCTGAAGGTCCCGGGTTCAAGTCTGTCCCATGCTGAGTGATGCAGCAT